CGTTTGTTTTTTTGTTGTTATTGAGTTGTATGAGTTCTTTGTATATTTTGGATGTTAGGCCCTTATCGGAGGCGTTGCTTGCAAACATAATTTCCCGTTCAGATGGTTGTCTCTTTACCTTATTGATGGTTTCTTCTGCTCTTTAATTTGATGTAGTCCCATTCATTTATTTTTGCTTTTACTTCCCTTGCCTTTGAGGTCAAATTCATAAAATCCTCTTTAAGTCCAAGGTCCTTTAGTTTCATTCCTATATTTTCTTCTATGCCTTTTATTGTTTCAGGTCTTATATTCAGGTCCTTAATCCATTTTGAGTTAATTTTGAAGTGTGGTGATAGACAACAGTCTAGTTTCATTCTTCTGCAGGTGGCTTTCTAGTTTTCCCAAAACCATTTATTGAAGAGGATTTTCCTTTCTCCACTGTGTGTTTTTGGCTTCTTTGTTGAAAATTATTTGCCCATATAAATATGGGTTTACTTCTGGACTCTCGATTCTGTTCCACTGGTCCGTGAGTCTGTTTTGCTGCTAATACCACGCCGTTTTGATTACTGTCGCTTTGTAGTGTAATTTGAAGTCGGGCAGAGTGATGCATCCAGCCTAATTCTTCTTTCTCAAGATGGCTTTGGCAATTCAGGGCCTTTTGTGCTTCCATACAAATCTGATGAGTTTTTGTTCTATTTCTTTAAAAAATGGCAATGGGATTTTGATGGAGATTGCATTAAATCTGTTTAATACTTTAGGTAATACGGTCATTTAACTGTGTTGATTTTTCCAATCCAAGAACACAGATTATCTTTCTATTTCTTAGTATCTTCGATTTCTTTTAATAGGGTCTTGTAGTTTTCATTAGTCTAGCTATGTTTAAATTCTTTTACCCCTTTACCAGCTATATACCATGCCTCATTTCTCTCATTTCAAAAGAGGGATAACAGTAGTACTGTACTTATTTCATACAGTTATTGTGTTCTTGGAACAGTTATCACAAGGTAAGCACTATATAAGTATTTGCTACAAGTATTACATAATTAATCTTCACGATATTATGTACTATAAAATAGCTTCTATTATTTCCATCTAATAGATAAGAAAATTGAAGTGTAGAGTTGAACGACCCACATAAGGTAATACAGTTTAAGTGGAAGAACTCAGATTTGAATTTAACACCTACTCTAAAATCTATGGTTGAAAAATGTAACCCCAGAAAGAAAGAAAAACAAAAAAGAGAAAATTAAAAAAAAAAATTTTTTAAATAAAAAGAATAAAAGAAAAATGTAACCTGGCCCCTTTCTCATAGCTCATACTACTCCCCACCAGAGCCTTTTATGTCCTGGCCATACTCTCCTTTTAGTTTCTCTAAACCTTCACCTCAGAGATTCTGTGCAGGCTGCTCCAGCCTCAAATGCTATTCTACTCCTGCTATTTAAACAGCTGGCTCTTTCTAATCTTGTTAGTCTCAGCAGAACTTTCCTGGCCACTTTAGCAGCCCTTTTTCCCTTCTCCAGTTTTTCCATTCCAACAAATATGATTTGTTTTCTTCCCAGAGCTTTAGATTTTGTACCCTGTGTATTAGATCCTATTATTTATTGTCTATCTTCCTCTATCTGATTGTAAGTTCCATGAGAACAGGGTCCATTTCTGTTGAGTTCATATTTGAGTGCTCACATACACTTAATGCTAACAAGCATACTATGGTATCTGGACATATAGCAGGAACTTAATACATAGTTGTTGAATCAGTGAACTACATTGCTTACATAACCTTGGACAAATCACTTAAACCCTTTGGGCTTCGGTTTTCTAGAAGTTACTTTCTAAATCTAAAATCCTGCAAATATATTTTAGTACCTTTGTTTGAAAAATAGAATAGTACTAGATATAGGGAAATTTTGTAAATATATATTTACTAACTAGACTCAGTACCTTTTAGTATCTAGAGGTAGCTATGCATATGGATATAGATATACTACAAGTTTTCTTTTTATTTAACCAGACAATATAGAATTATGTAGATCATTTCTTCTACTGTACAGTAAACCCATTCCATCAGCTGATATATAAAAACTATATTTAAGAGCAAAACTTAAGCCAATATTCCAGCATGCAGTTCAATTCAGGACTGTACTACCGTACTTTCAGAGTATATAACAAAGTAAAGAGGATTATCACAGAAAATAATTATCTTTTTGGTGACCATGGTAATGGCAACCTTTATTAGCAAGCCCTAATACAAAAGAATGGACAAAATAATAAACTGCTGAAACATGATCTGAAAGAGGTCAATTGCTACTTGCCAGGAAGCAAACTCACAGTACTTATGCAAGTACAGTAAGATCCCCATTACCTACATGGGGAGAAACTGTATCTTAGCTGACAATCAGCATATATCATTTCAGGAACTGTCAATTTACAGAGAATTGGACTATAAGAGACAGTACAGCCAAATAGTTAAAGAGTATGTATGGACTCTGGCTTTGGACTGCCTGAATTCGAATTCCAGCTCCATGACCTACAAGCTATGTGTTCTTGGGAAAGTTACATAACTTGTGGCCTCAAATTCCTCTTTCATAAAATAGGAATACTACGTTAAAGGATTTTTTTTTAGATTAAATAAGTTAACACATCTGTGAGCAAAACTAACTTTAATACCTGCACTTAAAGGCTTCTGGTGGGCCAAAATGATTGAATAAACAAAGCTATACGAGCATGAGGACAACATATGAGGCAGTAAAAAATGATTCTGCAACTGCACATTTTCAAATGAGGTCAACAACTATTTAGGTATTTCAAGGTATAAGTCTGAAACTTAAACACTTAAAATGTTCTGTTATTGTAAACACTAAGTTCTCTAAGGAAAAACCTAGTGCTACACTGTCCAATATAGTGGCCAGTAGCTACAAGTAGTTATTTAAATTTAAATTAAAAGAATATTTAATGATTTAATTCCTTAGTTGCACTAGCTACATTTCAACTGCTCAGTAGCTAAATGTGGTTTGTGTCTCCCATACCAGACAGCACAGATATAGAACACTGACATCATCGCAGAAATTCTACTGGATAGCACTGATCTAGATGTAGCTAAATAATGTAGTTATGCTGAATAAATTCGATAAATCAATAACTGTAAAGTTTAGGCAATAAAAAGGTTAAAAGACACAACTATTAAAAAGGAAACACTTTCAAAAGTAAAATTCAAAGGCAATAAGATGTGATTATGTGATTATTTAAAGTCTCCTAGTAAACTGCTTAATAAATAGAAGCTACTCACCAAAGAGTACCAAAAAACTACCATGTCTAACTATATGAGAAATTCATTCTTTATCCCTTAGTAAGTTAAATTCTTTAATTTACCTCTGTTCTAAGATCAGTTTTCTAAAGGAGGAGGTGGCACAGGAATGCAGCAGAGTTCAAGTGTGGAATTCATTTGTTAAGACAAATAATTTGCAGCTCTATAAAAAATAAAAATGAAAAACTGTGAAATATTGAAAAATAATATTCTCAAGAATGTAATACAAAGAACAATTTTTAAGACATAATATAGTTTATCTAATTTAAAAAATAATTAGTGATTAAAAAATTTCTATAATGACTTGTATATATTTGTGAACCGTTATCAAACCTAATATCTTACAGATAATGGCTAATGTGAAACTAAAACTCAGTTAAAAAACATTAGATGTGGATAAAGAAAGTCTGCGTTTTACTTTCAAATTAGGCATTAATTATCTGTAAAACATTGAGTAGGTTACTTAAATTTTCTGGAGCCTCGCTTGAATAATCTACAAAATTAAGATTTCTAGCTAAAAATTCTACGAATCCAACTTTTGAAACAAACATATCACACACATGAAAGCAATCATTAAAATTTTAATATGCAATATAAAACCAAACTTAAATAATAAGTATCAATGACTATAAAATCATTTTGAATCAGTTTCACGAAAAGAACTGAAAATTTTATCATTTTTAAAAAGGACACAGAAAATGCTATTACTTGAATTTCTGACACAAAAATATATTGAGTTTTTTGGTTAGAGAAAATTATTTTCAAATTGCTAAAAGTACAGTTTTATTACAAATTAATAACTATTTTGCTGACCACATTATGCTCTACCTGATTTAAAACTATATCACAACTATAAATCTAAAACACCAAATGAAAATTAACATTTTAAAATGTTCATTAACAAAATGTCATTTTTAAATACAAAGAATACAGCTATAAAATTATCATAGAATTATTACATTATTATAAAGTCTCCAATATTTGCAAAACTGAAGATATATCAGGACCTCCTACTCCAACCATAGCAGCTGACTTTAATCTCATATACTGGGCTATTACAAGATTTTTATTTCATGAGAAATTCTGTAGTGGGGGAAAAAACTTGAAAAGAACTAACAGAATACCTCTGAGAAGATATACAAGAAACCAGCAACACTTTGGGAAAGGGCACTGACTATTTTTTTGTACCTTGGGAATTTTGAACCATCAAGACAACTGGCAGATTTTAAAGTAGTATAGGAAAGGAGACTTGAGAGCTATGCTGGGAACCTCTATAGAGATGGGTCTCCAACAATCTTTCAGAGCAAAAGATACAGATACTCACTAGGCCCTGAATTTAAGAAAACAAAACAAAATAAAAACCAAACAGGGCAAATGATAGGGAAACTGAGTTTTATTAAACTTTAACACATCTTTAAATAGCTCAATTCTGGTTAGTTGGAGGTAACTAGCCCATCACCCATTTGAAGAAAAGAAAGAAATAGGAACCCTGTAGGGAAGGTAACACTACCTGGAGCCTTTGTCGTTCTTTCATACACAAAGTCTGGCACACAATCAAGAATTACTTTAAAAAAAAAAATTACTAAATAGGCAAAGTGACAAAATATGACCAATAAGAAAAAACAAGGCAAAAACAGCATACACATTCCTCTGACGTGCACATAGGCCATTTTCCAGGATAGACCATCTGTTGGCTACAAATTAAGTCTTACAGATTTTAGAAGATAAATATTATACATAGTATCTTCCATGACCACAATGGAATAAAGTTAGAAATCAAGAGAAGGAAAACTGAAAAATTCACAAAACTGTGGAATTTAACTCCTCACTTTTAAATAGCCAATGGGTCAAAGAAGAAATCACAAGAGAAATTAGAAAATACTTAGAGCCACATGAGAATAAAAACAAATATACCTAAGCTTATGGGATGCAGTGAAAGTTGTGAAAAGGGGGAAAATTTATAGCTATAAATGCTTACATTAAAAAATAAGAAAGCTCTCAAACCAACAACCTAACTTTACAACTTAAAGAACTAGAATAAGAAGAATAAACTAAATCAAAGCTAGCAGAAGGAAGGAAATGAAAATAATAAATGATTAGAGCAGAGATAAATGAAATAGAGAATAGAAAACAATAGAAGAAAACAAAACTCAAAACTGGTTCTTTGAAAAGGTCAACAAAATTGACAAAACCTTAGTTAGATGGACTTGAGAGGGAGAGAGAACACAAATTACTAAAATCAGAAATGAAAGGGTGGATATTACTACTGATACTACAAAAATAAAAAGGGTTATAGAGTATTATGAACAAATGTACACCAACAAATTGGGTAATGAAATTCCTAGAAATACAAAACGTTCCAAGACTAAATCAGGAAGAAATAGAAATTCTGAATAGACCTGTAACTAGCAATATGATTGAATCAGTAATCAAAATCCTTTGACCAAAAAAAAAAAAAAGCCCTGGACCTAATTGCTTCACTGGTGAATTCCACCAAACATTAAAACAAACAAACAAATAAACAAAAAAAACAATACAAATCCTTCTCAACCTTTTCCAAAAAGCTGAGGAGGAAAGAACACTTTAACTCATTCTATGAGACCATATTACCCTGACACCAAAGACAAAGACACTACAAAAACAATACATGAGACCATATTACCCTGACACCAAAGACAAAGACACTACAAAAACAATACATGAGACCATATTACCCTGACACCAAAGACAAAGACACTACAAAACCAGTGGATACTGTAGACCAATATCCCTTATGAACAATGACGCAAAAATCCTCAACAAAATACTAGTAAACAGAATTAGCAGCATATTAAAAGGATTATATACCATGACAAAGTGGGATTTTTTTATGAATGCAAGGACAGTTCAACAACAAAAGTAATATATCACATTACTAGAATAAGAGAAAGGAATAAAACACATGAATATCCCAATGCAAGAAAAGCATCTGACAAAATTCAACACCCTTTTATGGAAAAAAACAAAACAAAACAAAACAGTAAAAAACAAAACAACAACAAAAAACAGGAATAGAAGTAAACTACCTCGACATGATAAAAGCCATCTATGAAAAACCCAGAGAATATCAAACACAATGGCGAAAGACTGGAAAGGAAAACAAAATCATCTGTTTGCACGTTATATGATCTTATATGTAGAAAACCCTACAGATTACACACACTCACACAAATAAAACCTGTCAGAACTAATGAATTCAAAAGTAGCAGGATCAAAGTCAACACACAAAAATCAGTCGCATTTCTATATACTAAGAATAATCAAACCTGAAAAGGAAAGTACAAAAATAATTCCATTTACAAGAGTATCAAAAAGAATACTTAGAAACTAACCATGAAAGTGAAAACTACACTACAATGAAAACTACAAAACATTGATGAAAGAAACTAAAGGAGACCTAAATAAATGGAAACTCATTCAATGTTCCCAGATTAGAAGATTTAATAATGTTAAGATGTCAATACTCCCCAAAGCAACCTACAGGTTCAATGCAATCCCTATCAAAACCCCAATGACGTTTTTACAGAGATAGAAAAATCCATACCAAAATTTATATAGAAGTTTAAGGGACCCTGAGTAGCCAAAACAATCTTGAAAAAGAAGAACAAAACTGGAGGACTCATACTTCCTGGTTTCAAAACTTACCTCAAAGCTACAATAATCAAAACAGCGTGGTACTGGCATAAGCATTGACAGATATATCAATGGAATAATTAGAGAAAAAAATGGAACATTTAGCTAATGTAAAAGCAAGCAAGAAAGAAAAAAAAAAGATGGGCCAAATAGCAAACAATAGTAAACTTCTATGTATAAACATAACTATATTAGTAATTGTATTACAATACATGGACAAAAAATTCCAAATAAAAGACTGAGTTTGTCAGCTGGATTAAACAAGCATACTTTTTAAAAGAGACACACTTTAAATATTACTACACAGAAAAACTGAAACTAGAGGATGGAAAAAATATACCATAAACACTAGTATACACAAAAATAAAATTGATATACTCTTCTAACATCAGAGGAAGTAGAATTAAGGCAAGAAACATCATTGTGAATAAAGGAACCAGTCAAACAGGAAGATTCACAATCATAAACTTGTATATATCCCAAAGTAATCTCAAAATACATAAAACAAAAATTTTCAGAATTAAAAGGAGGAACAGACAAACTCTTAATCAGAGACTTTAATGCACCTCTCTCTGTCGTTGAAAGAAAAAAGCAATAACCAGTAAGATCTGAACAATGCAATTAACAAACGACTTAAAAAGACCTATACAGAATATTCCAACAAGCAACAACAAAAGAAAAATCACAGGGGCAGCTCCATAGTGTAGTGGTTAGCACGTCTGTTTTACATGCAGAAGGTCCTGGGTTTGCGCCCCAGGTGGAGCCACAGACCATACTCCCCAAGTATGCACCACGAGCGTGTGGGAGGAGATGCCCCACCTTCAGAGATCCAGTTAAGAGGAGACGGCAGGTCAGGGGTGGAAGTGGCAGGGCGGGGGGAGGATTAAAGAGGGGGAAAAAAATCACATTCTTTTCAAGGGTACATGAAACATTTTATCAAAATTGACCACATACTGGGACTCCAGGAAAGCCTCAACATAGTTCAAAAATGATGACGCCATTCAGAGTATGTTCTCTAACCATAACATAAGTAGCTAGAGATCATTAATAAAAATGACAATAATTAATAAATAAAAATCTAGAAAAACATCAACTACTGGAAATTTAAAATTATACTTCTAAATGATCTAAAGGTCAAAGAAGAAATCAAAGCTGAAATTAGTAAATATTTTGAACTCAATACTAAGGAAAATATAACATTAAAACTTGTAAGAAGCAGCTACAGCCTTAATTGCATATGCAGGAAATCCCCACTTTGTATGTATAAAGCAAAAGCATAGTTGCTATATGCATGAGTTTCAGCTAAACTCTCTGTATTTGCAGAAAAGCTGAAAAAAAAAATCAGTGGTTCAAGCTTCTAAAGAAGCTAGAAAAGACAGCAAATGAATGAAACAGAAAACAAGCAAAATCAACAAAGCAAAGTTGGTTCAAACTTGTACAAAGTCTCCTAGAGAAGTGAAAATAGAAGACTTCCCCTGATAAGCAAAATTG